TCATTTTACCAAGGTCACCTTGCCCCATAGATTTTAAAATTCCATATTCAATCTAATTTGGCCACCAAACCAAGGGCATGATGAAACAGAGGACCCTGGATATTAGTACTCAATATCCTTGATATAGAGACATTTGATAATATCTAACGCTTAAATGGCTGGCCCAGAACAAAAATGACTTTTAATTTCACCTAAAAAATATCTAACTATGGATGTGACACAAGACCAAAGAACAGCCCTCACCAAAACAAGATTTAAGCTCCTGGATTTTATAGTAAAACACAGGTGGTTTCATCAAATACCTTACCCAGAGATGATATGTATATTTGGCATACCAGAAATAGAGAACACTCACATCCTCTTGGACTGCTAATTGTACGTTTCAGCTAGATCACAGCATTTAAAATCATTAACTGACTGGAGAGCCCATTGGGATTATTAGCAGGTTATTTTGCCTCCTCCAAATTACATAGGCAATAAGACAGACTGCCAAATATATAGTGTAAGCCATCCAGCTGAATGGATTTTCTATCGAGATCAGATGGGAGTCATCTGACAGGAGGATGATCTTATCTATTATTTCCACTGAATATTTTTATATATTGCAATGCACTGTTACTTTATCCTATGTTATTTTATATGACCATTTGATTAATCAATAAACTATAAACTAAACTAAATCTGAAGCTATCAAACTTCTCACCATTTCAAGAAGAAAATCTAGAATAAGGTTGGAGCACCATCTGTAGTTATTGTAAACTCATTGGCTCCTGAGCTGCAATGTACACAGAATTTGTGAAGCCACTTTTTTCCTTGAGCAATCCATCTTCCAATTCATTTCAGCTATTAGGACGCTTGGGGAAAATCCTAACAATTTTTGCTTGCAGGCAAATGGTATTTCTTGCAGATATTCCAATGCATCATTGTAGTTACTTTACCATGCATTTGCTGTCTGTTGCTATTTTTCTCAATTCTGGCTTTGTATGCATTTGTTCTTAAGGATTGGTCTTGTGCAGCCAGAATTAGCCCCTCTGTCTCTTTCAATTTTTTCTGCTTTTAGTCATTGCCATGTCTTGCTATTATCTGCTTTGTCTGCTATTTTTTTAACTACCGGTCATGTTAATACCTGGCCTTGCCCTGTCTCTTTTCTATTCTTTTTGGTTTGTTGCATAGTCAGCTAGATGTTCAGACTGGATTTGGCATTTTATCCACATATCGAGTACTTTCCAAGGACCTAAGATTATTATTATTACAGCTCAGCAGAATAGTAAAGAGTTCAGAGTAAGAAAAACAAGTTGCTTGTTAAAAATCTGCAAAATATCCGGTTGGTGATGTCTGGCATGTCAGGCAAATATAATAATTAGGCTACTGGAACAGCCTTCTTAAAATTAATTGTAGTGGGAGAGTCATACCTATCTCTGGGCAGCTGCCAAACAAAGTGCAGAGATTTGCTTAGAAGTGGTTTTCTGAATGAATTCCAAGGAGTAGAACATAATAATCACAATGTGATGCAATCTTTTTTAAAAAGTAAACTCTGTGAATGTGTGTTCAAGCATGTGGACGCCTTTAAATCAGTTTTTTACTTCTGGCAATTGTTAGAGTAGTCCTTGCAGTTTTCTTGGCAATGTTTTTTGGAAGTGATTTGTCTTAGGTCTGAGAATGACTTGAGGCCATCCAGCTAATTTTATGCATCAGGTAGGATTAGAACTCCTAGCTTCTCTAGCCTGATGACTTAACCACTACATGAAACAGGCGCTTGATACAATTTTGCTATTGTTTTTCATGACTTCGGCTTTGGTGTATTTCCATATAAATATTGATTACTTAATAACATTTTCAAATTGCTACCATACAGAAAGCACCATGCAGAAAGTGAGTTCTTAACACAAGGGTTTAATGAGTAGAAGATCCTAATAGGTACAGAAATAATAGCTACAGAGTATAAAATTATAGAGTATAGAATTCAATTTGTGCCTTCAAGTCAGTTCTGATTCTTGCTGACTGCCCCCTGCAGTTTTCTTGGCAACTTTTTTCAGAAGTGGATTTCCATTGCTATCTTTTGAGGACTGAGAGAAGTGACTAGTCCAAGATCACCCTGTTGGCCTTATGGCTAAGGCAGGACTCAGAGTCTCCAGGTTTCTAGTTTCCTGCTTTAATTACTACACCACTGGCATAGGCTTGTAACAAAAACAAGTCTATAAAGCATAATTTCTTTATGCAATTATGATATATATTATGCATTTGCAACTTCATGTACTGCTTATTTTATAGGTACACATCTCAATTTACCTTAGCAACATTTAAATCAAGATTTAATAACTTTTAAAATAATTAATTCAATAAACTTATTTGAGTCACTGTAGCTTAGACAAAATAAAACAGATTGCAATTTATAATTTTTATTTAAATAAAATTGTGTGGAATAAAGAACCATGTGCATTATAATTATACTTGTAATTAAGCAAATTTTTAATACCAGAAATCTGAATAAATGGGAGACACCGAAGTGGATATAATAATCCAAATATGCAACTAAGACTAAAGTACAATTCAAACAACTTCAATTACTTTACATTAGCAGTCCTTTTTTTAACAGAGCTTGGTGTTCTTATGTGTATGTTTCCTTTTACAAGACAAAGAAGGCAATTTCATGAAGATGACTGAGGTAATTGAGCCTGTTTCTTCTGTTCTACCACTTTGTGCAAAACCCGCAAGATTGTGTTTGCATTATTCTGAACATTATAGTTGGTTAGATTTAGCAGCTTGTTAAAATCCTCCTCCTGCAGTGAGACCTGTCTTGTAGAATATGGTGAAAAAGCACTTGAGATATCAACATTGCCTTGTGGCAATTGAGCCGCATTACGTTCTATGCCTGCAGAAGAAAAAAGAAGAAGACACACTAATTATGTATAAAAATATGACATGGGACTGAAAGTTACTTGTATTGTGCTCTTTAATTGATCAAACTAATGCCAATCAGAAACCCATTAGAGGAGATAACATAATATAATGCTCGTACATTTCTGTTTTCTAAGAAGGAAGAAGTATTAATGGCAATTTCTTCATATATTGATCTAATCACTTTTTAAAACTATTCAATTTGGTAGTCATCACTAGAGTATGTTTCATACATCACTCAAAGTCTTGTTTAATACTGTTTGCATTGCAAACTAGGATTTATAGTCCACAATAACTAGTTCCATACAATATATCAAGTGAAATCGTACTATGGTATTGTATAACGTATGAACCCAGGTTTATATACTGAAGCTGAAAATTGTACAGGTTAATGATGTGCTGTCCTTCCATATGTTCTGAATCTTCCACCATTCATCTTATTTAGATGAGCCAGGTTCTAGTGTTACCAAACATGAAAATGAGTCATTTACTTTCTCCACACAATAAATTGTTTTATATAATTTCTTTCTCATTTTACTTTTTTCTGACTAAAAAAATCAACTGTGATAACTTCTGTCAGATGAGCTCTTTCAGTTCTTTGGTCAATGAGTTTGTTCTGGATCAGGCAGCATCTAAAATTGTTTAAGATCAAACATCTATTAGAAATGTACTTTCTATTGTATGGTACTATTAACTCACCGGGTGCAATATATCTTTGGAAGGTGTCATTCACTAGTGGGAAATAAAGCACGATGGGTGCTTCAGGATTATTTGCCTCTTCAAAGACATAGCATTCTTTTATATTTTTCTTTTCTTCTTCATTTAGTAAAATCTTGGGGAATGGGATTCCTTGTGCTGAGAAATATGTGGAGGCCTGTTCCAGAGGCTTTAAAAAGCACAGTAACAGCCAAGGTTAGCAAGTGCAAAAAGAAATCCAAACAGGATCTTTTAATACAGACATTGATTTGAAACCACAATGTAATAAGTAAAATGAAAACAGTCCTGGAAATCCCCGCTTCCTTTCTTTATGCTGGCTAATATTCCTTATTAATAATTGTTTATTATCGGATCTGAAGTTAAAGTTGGCCAGATGTTGAAATTCTGAAATTCAACAATATTAGGAATGTTTTACAAACTTGCAAGGTAATCCTAATACTTTAGAAAAACAGAAAAATAACTTTAAAATAGTCTAGGTGGAAGTAGGCTGACGATAACAGGATCAAAGTTAATAGCAATTTATTTTGGGAAAGGAAAACATAGACATACAAGTCTAGGATGGGGAATACCTCGCTTGAGAAAAGAATTTGTGAAATAGATTGCAACCTCTTTCTGTGATTTTCAGCATTGCAGTTTCTGAAACTGCAATGGAAACTGAAATAGAAACAAAGAAGGGTGACATGGAAGATTTTGGAAGACTGAAAACTAAAGTTTACAAGAGATGGTGAGAATGGGATATATTTAGGCTTGAGGAAAGATGAATGCAGCAATGTTTAAAAGTATTATAGGTTAGCCAACTGCTGTTATTTTTACACCATACAAAGAATGATTATTTCATTACAAATAAAACCAGCATTATGTCGTCTAACCTTGGTTTGTGATCCTCCAGTATAATTGAAATGCAGAATGACATCCACTTTCCTCTCTGGCCTGAGAAGTGGAGGGCAACTGGTGTCAAAGAAGAAAGCTGTATCTACAAGTTCCAAATGTTCTGTAGAATCTTTCAGTTGATTGGGGGATTCATCAAGCATTGTATCTACAACAAACATTTCAAAAGTAAAATCAATACCCACAGAGGCCATCATCAGGGGAAAACAAATGCTCCTAGACTTCCTTCTTGCCAATACCCATCCCACCATGGATCTATTTGCTAAACAATTCATTCCCATCAGGATCCAGGGCCAATTTCTTTTAATCTTCTGACCTAATGAAGAGAACAGCACTTAGGACTGTAAATGAGTAGCTGGAAAGAGTCTTTTTTCCTACTGCAGGGAGCACGTTCAACTTCCTTGATTCCCATGCATTCCATTCTAAGGACCAATTTATCTCCTAAACCAGGTAGAGTCCCAGATTCAGTTATCCAGTGACATTTTTATTTATTAAATTGTTATTTATTTATTTGTATCCCACCTTTATTATTTTTACAAGTAATTCAAGGCAGAGAACATACCCCACACAACCACCTCCTCCTATTGTCTCAACAACAACAACCTTGTGAGGAAATTGGGCTGAGAGAGAGTGACTAGCCCAAGGTCACGCAGCTGGTTTTCATGGCTAAAGCAGGACAAGTACTCATGGTCTCCTGCTTTCTAAAGTCTGGTGCTTTAACCACTAGACCAAACATTTTCTTTGTAATGAGAAAAATGCAATCAACTAGACAATTGTGGATTTCTAATAATACATAAAAACAATCAGATGCTGCTGTGATACCTTTCCATTTAGTAAATTGTTGATGCTGTACATATTCATTATGCATTTGGAGCCCTTTTAAAAAATTGTTATACTTGGACACTGCTGGACGATCTGTTAAAATATCCCGTAGAGTATTGGAAAGACCTCCAGCAGGAGTGAACATGCGAGTTGGCATCTCATGGGGTTTCTCCAGTATATCAGGCACTTCATCTAAATACAAACAATGGAAATAAACTTCATCTAAATAATGAATAAGAGTCTTATACTAGTGTATGATGCAGTTCAGATGATACCCAAAGATGAACAATTGACCGGTGGTGTGAATAGTTTTTCTTTCTCTCACACATGCATCTTAAACTCTACATCAAGTGGGAGTTTAGATTTCAGTAGGCTAACACACAAAAGTCTAGGTTGCATAATTAGTTCCTGAATTTTATTTTGGTTTTTATTACACAATGGATTATGATTATGTTATTGTTAACCCTGTGATGGGCACTGGGAAGTGAGGGGGGAGGGAGGGGGGTGGAAGTGTGGGAAGGGGAAGGGGGGATTTATATTGTAAAATTTGTTAAAATTTCAATTAAAAAAAACCAGATTCTCTCCAGATGTTTTGCATTACATTTTCTGAAGTTTCTTATCATTGGCAGTGCTTGCTGGAACCTTTGGGAGCAGAACAATTTTACATTTATATCTGCTATTGAAATTTTTCACCATGCATGAATATTTACCAAGCAGATACTCTTCAGGACTACAAAGGCATGAGAAGGCTTCATAAAAGAACTGAGTAGCTTCATGAACCAAATTGAAGCCATGATGTTGAACTTGTAAGGCATAATAATAAGCAAATGGTATTTTTATATTGCAAAGATAATGATGGCTAACATTTAAAGTTTAATTGAAGCTAGCTGCTCTGCTCTCGATTTAACTAAACTAGCAGGAGTGTCATACAGAAGGAACAAGGTACAGAAAAAGTATTCTTATATTATGTGTTTGAAAAGATATAAAAGATTACTTTGCCCTTTGAAGCAACAACAAACCATTAGCCAAAATTAACCTTTGCCCTCTTAACTGGTAGTATATGACCATTTTTTCTTTCAGAGAAATATCTATTAAAATAATTTGTTTAAAAATCAGATTACTGTGTTATTCCAAGTTATTTTATAGTAAGTTGCAGATTAAAAAAGGGGAGCTAAATTATCCAAATAAAGTAATTTGGATAGAAAATTAGAGGTAAAAAATTGAAATCAGGTAATGCAAAAAGAGGGAAGCAAATTAAGAAAAAAATGCCCAAAGGAATATAAGACCTGATCAACCACTGAAAAGTTACAAAACAGTTGTTTCTTTTTTCCAAAATATTATTTTAGTTTGCATAAAATAAATGTAATTTTGCTGGGAATTTAATGGTAGTCCTAAGTACATTATTAGGTGTAGATTATGTAATGGTACATAATAGTACATAGTGTAATGGTACACAATGTAACTATAAAATAATACATTATACTTGATAAGATAAAATTATACTATATTTCTTCCCTCTTTTGTGGTCTGAATACATATTTCTCTGTATGAGGTTATCTGAAATTTCAGTTTGTACAGGCAAGACAGAAAAATATGGTAAATGTAAAAATTCCAACTTTGGAACAACTTTTCATAGCTTACCAATCTCTATGACAGAATCTTGGGTCCATCTGTTCCAGAAATCTTCTGAATTGTCTGCCGCATGCCAGGCATCTAATAGATTCTTGGAAAATACACTACTCCATAATCCTTTGAAAGGAAAAGATCAGTGAAGTTAAAGCATTTTCCCATTGAAACTTCATTTTATTGTTGAGATGAAGACAAAAACAATGTTCTGTACATAGAACAGACAGTTTGGGAAACTCCATGTTTACACAGAAATATACATATTTTGTATTAGAGGCTGGGCATGGATCCAGAACATGCATGATTTGATCAGAAGGTGTTTTGGGATGGACAAAGTGGGGAAAAGGTACGGCCAGTGATTGTGGTGGCAACTAAAAAAAGGTTAGGAAAGGAAAGTGCTAGAAAGATCATGGGAAGGAGTGAGTGGCCCAGTTGGATATGCCAAGTTAAATTGCTGATGTGTGATAGTAGCTCTCCCACCTCCTCTCCAACCTTTCCAGTGTCTTCCTTTCCCTATCTCAGCTGCCATCCTTGAAGTCAAGCACCTGATATCCAACCTGCCCTCCTCTCTCCAGCTGATAGATTGCACTTATATTCAAAAGTGATGGCAGCATGTGGTGCCAGTTAAGGGAAAGTAGGAAAAAAGAAAGAACTGCAGAAATTGGTGAAGTAGCCCACAAGCCATGCATAGAAGGATCAACCTAGCCCAGGGGTAGGCAACCTCGGCTCTTTTATGACTCGTGGACTTCAACTCCCAGAATTCCTGAGCCAGCATAGCTGACTCAGGAATTCTGGGAGTTGAAGTCCACGAGTCATAAAAGAGCCGAGGTTGCCTACCCCTGACCTAGCCCTTCTTGCCCACAAGCCATGCATAGAAGGACCAACATAGCTCTTCTTGCACTTCCTGCCTCTAGATTTTGCCTTGATCAAAACCTAGAACAACCAACATATTCTGGGATTCTATTTATTCAAACCATGGTCACCCAGAAAGCTCTGGCCGAGGTCATCTCTAATCTGGAACTTTAAAAAAATCTCCCTAATTCAGTGGAATTCTTCACTGTTAGTCAACTAGTCATACTTACAGAGTAGTAAGAGAATAATTGCCTCTAGCAATATTGTTACATGAATTGTCCAGAAAACCATTGGAAGTATTACTGTTAAATGCAGTCAGAACTGAAGCTATATTCTAAACATAGCTATCTTTGAAGAATTTATATCTTGTATTATCCAGTTGCTTCTATTAGAACAGTTAATGACAAATAGTGAAGTGCTGCCTTATTATGTTAATTTCATTTCATTAAGAATACCATCACATTCTGAGGGGGAAGAGAGAGAGAGAGAGAGCACATCATCTTTTTCTGCCCTTTTTACATGCTACTATATGATGATAGAGCTCTAGATTCTTTAAATAATGCTCACCCATTAGGAGTGAGATAATACTAGGTGTATTCAGCTGAGAATCTGGCTGCAAAGTGAGTCCAGTTCTCCCCAAAACCCCGTAGATACCATTGGTATCTTCAACAAGGGAAAATGCCCCTTAGAAAAAAGTCACCTTGCATAAAACATATCCTTGATTCTGGGAGTTTCTTCATTATGTGCCCCATGTAAAACTCGCTTCCAAAATTTTCAGCAGCAACAAAAGCTCCATATTTCGGAAATCCTATTTCGTATGGTGTAAATTCTAACCACTCTGTAATGAAGATCAACAACAACACATTTAGTATCATACCTTCACTATGCAGAGAAGGGATTCTTTCTTAGGTGGAACTACTAAATAAATTATGTTCAAAGAATGATATGTCTTTTCAATGTTGACTAGCCTGATCATGAAAGTCAACAATGATCCAATATTTTACTATTTTCCAAATCCATTGTTAGTTTTTACACCTGAAGTAAATGAAGGAAGGCAGCTTTCAGCAAACATAAAAACATTTCAGAGGTCATTACATTTATTAAGCATTATCTACACTACAAAGAATTAAAAACACTTACAAACTATTCAGAAAAGATAATACTGTACTTTTTTCCCTTCTCTGTGCTCAGATATGTTTTTAATCACCTCTGGCATGTGTATCAGAGGTGTATATATATCTAAACAAATATACAAGATATGCATATACAAATGGAGTCTCTGAACTTTGATACATGTAGTATTTCCAGACTGACATTTTCAGAAGTTACCAAAGAGAGAATACAAATTTAAGAATCAAGCTTCTTTAGATCTCTAAGAAAAATCTTTGTTTTCTGGGTTTTGAGAAATTGTTTGTAATAGGCAATTCATATCAAGGAAGCATTAGCAGAATCCAAATGTTTTCTAAGCACACTGGTACTATGTAGAGGAAGTGTAACATAAAGAGGATAACAAGGCCCCAATAAACTAGTGACCTTGTACTTGAGCTGAAATTGTGTCTCACTCTGTGATTATTTAAATGTCAATGGCTTATTTTTAATATTGATATTGAGGTGCTTTATGCATAAGGATGAAAAGTCTTCAACCCATGGGTGGTCCATGTGATGTTTTGGCACAATACTGAAGTGAATTGCCATTGCCTGGATAGATTTTTTTTCAACTTCCCAATCCAGCCTATAGTCCTTGGATTTCCCCATGCAGCCTCATCTGAAGACTGACCAAGTCTAACCTTACTTTACGCTTCCTGAAATCCATTATAGTGGATTATTAGTTTTGACTGTATAGATTGCAACTATTGTAAATTAAATCATTTGTATATGAAATCCATCAGTAAAGTACGCACCTCTAAAATCTTTTGTGGTGATGTTGTCTTTTACATTGAGTGCCAGATAGATTGGCAGAGGATTCTGACCTTTGTTCACTGCTCGTCGTTGCTCTGAGAGTTTATGATGATTATTCTGTATTTTGTGAAAAAATAATAATGTACGTGCATTATAGAGCTGGTTAATATAAGTGAAATAGGCCTCATATCCACATAGAGCATCAATTTAAGGATAAAATTACAGTTTAAACACTAACCATGTTATTTTTCACAACACAGAATAAAATATTGAGAAGGAAGGATTAAAAAATGGAATATTGGGGAGGGGGGAATGACATGACAAATAACAGCTGTGTGTCTGTATAGGGTTGACTTCCAAAGTGTTGTAACAGAGACAAAGAAGATTAATCCCCTTTTCCTGAACTTCTTATCCAGATTAGGGTTTCATGTAGCTGAACATAATTACAATCAGTAGTAGTAACCATAGCAAATAATTGTAGTTAGGGTGTCTGGGATGGAGAGGTTTAAAAAAAAGGCAATACAGTCACAGTAACCATCTGATTGAAGCACATAAATAAAAGGTGAACAGTTCTGGCTGCAATCTTGACATGTTGACTCCCTACATCCACTAGTAGTAGGGATAGTTCAGGTTTACCATCTCTTTCAAAACACGCTGGACTATTATGCTCTTTGATCCCAGGAGCAGGGCCAGATATAGACATGGTAAACCCCTAACTATGGGAAGGTTGTAGAGATTCAACTTGACAAGTGCTATCAGAGAATAAGGCTGTGTCACAATTGAACCTGGTAAGATACATAATAAGCTTGCGATGAGGTAGGGAAAGGCATTCTTTGAACAGAATGTATCGATGCATGCAGAAACAGAGCATATCTTAATTACTTAATGAGCTATGCAGGGATGTGTGATTTATGGAGACTTTGATAGATGAAATTGGGGTTTGACTAACAAAAGCACCGTTGCATCATTTCTCAAGCCTTGTCCTTTTTGTTCATGCACCATGGTGTCGTAAACATGTTCTGAATCACAGTGTCTATAGTTAAAAGTCTGGACACTTTTATCGTTCGGATTCAGATGAAAGCAGGAGGATCTTGTGAGTGCTGTCCTCAATGCATATCTTAGTAACTAATTCTGCATGGGCTGGCTTTGAAAAAGCATCTGAACATTTCAGGTGGTTCCAAATGACAGGCCAAGTAGCACAAGGAAGGCTGGTAGGATGGAGCTTATCAACAGATTTTTATTATTTATTAATTCAAAATGCTGGTTCTTTGAAAAGTTGGGAACCTATAAGAATGGCCCAACATGAAGATATGGCAGACTTAGCATCTTAACAGGAAGGGTCACCTGCTTTCTCTACTTTTGCTGGATGGTGAAGACTGGAGAATAGATGTGTGAAACATATGGTAGGTTATTCTCTTGTACACTCTCTTGAGAAGCAAGTATATTTGAATTAGGGCTGTTCAAAAATACTCTTTCAAGGTGAGCTTGACTTGTGGTAAATGCTAAAATAAAAGTGGGTTGTCCCATTGTCTTTGCCAATATTTTTTCAATGCTCTTATAGAACTGGGACTTGCAGATTAGGTCAAACTGCAAATCTTGATTTAGCTTTTGAGAGCAGGTAAAATTAGCCACGTGCTGCCCTCTGCTGGGGCAAGGCAAAGTAAGTAATTTTATTTTACATTATTTCGTTGTGTTTGTTTCAACAGATGTTAATCATTAGGCATTATATTATTTACTGCACAAATAAATACCAAAGATGATGATGGTGAAGAATTTGAGTTCTGTTAATCATTATACACTGAGGAAACAGTGGCTAGGCACAACAATAGTTGTACAGAAAGATTAACAAATCTAATTCAGGGGATTAAGCAGAACAACCCTGGCAGGGCAAGCTATTATTAAAAATAGGAAGCAAACACCACACTCACTCACTATGATGAAGTTATCTAGTTGGGTGATGAAATGTCTGCAAACAAACACCAAGCTCAAAGAGTACCAAGGACTCCACAGTTAAACCCTGAGCTACAAATATTCTCTTCTATTGAAATCTAATTCATCTCATTAATGCACTATGGGTTTTTGTTTTGATTTAGAAAGGTATTTCAGTGTAGAAGTTCATCAGGTTTTTGTTGAATTTAACTTCCAAATCAGAATCCTGCTGGATACAAGAATGTTTTAGACTATTTCATTTTGTAGTATGGTATTTTAAAATTCATACATTGCCCTTTCAATGGGTACTCATAAAACATATTTTGTTTCAAAATGTCTCAGAAATGTCCATTTTTTTCATCCCCTTTTCTCTTTCCACACCTTTTCCCCATGATTGCTTCTGATTTTCATTTGACTGTGGTTTCCTCCATTCTCCCTTATTCAGTTTACAACAAAGGATCCTAGGAAGAGCCAAATTATATTTTTGTGGCAGAAGACAAAGCTAAAAAGAGCAGCTATTGGTTTATTTACAGCAGGGGTGTCAAACTCAAAATGTCACGTGACATGTCGTGACATATTGCGACTTTTTCTCCATTGCCGGAGCTGGGGTGGGCGTGGTTTCGGCATGACGCATCCAGCCCATTGGCTGGCAGTTTGACACCCCTGATCTACAGTATAAACTCTGCTGAACTAAATAAGAAAGCATGTTCATTAGAGAACACCATTCCTCTCCCAGAAGCTAAGAAATAACATAGGGAGATGCAGAAAAGGCCCTTTTGCATACCCCTTCATTCAGCATGGCTTCAATCATGAGTCCCCAAAGGTCTATAAAAGAAGACTTATATCCTGCGATGGTCCGTTGAGCCAGCTCCTTATGGTAAGACTTCAACTTTTCCAAGGAAAAAGCACTCCTCTTAGATTTGGCTGCTTGCTTCCGAGCTTGCAAAATGATTTCACCAAGATCTTTATTTGACCAATTGCTATCTTCATACAATTTTGTCATAGTCCTGAAAAGACAAAAAATACAATAGAAATTTCAACTTTTGTATTTATTAGAGCTCATTATTCTCTAGCCTAAGACCAAAGACAGATAACTCTTGATGGATTGGACTTGGAAATTCAACCATTATTAATTGTTAAGGTATGTTCACATATCTAAATTATTAAATAATACAGACAATGTTTTTCCTATATAATTTTATTGCTGAAAGTTTTCCAACTTTATGATCTAGGAAAATAACTCTGCACTTCTATTATCTTCTGGAAGGGGACATACAATATTTCAAAACATAATACAATATTTAAATAAATAGATTAAAAAAAACAGCTTTTTATCTTCCAGAATAGGTTAGTATCATTCACAAATGTCTATGTAATGTCTAGTCTAGTGTCTATGTATATTTATTTATGTTGTATGACTTTAGTATTACTATTATTATTCTTATCGTCTTTACTACCCTTTCTTATTGGTATTATTATGATGATGATTATTACTCTGTTGTTATGCATGTACAATGAAAGCTTTTGCACCAGAGACATTTTTTTTTGTCTGTCTAATCACACTTGGCCAAATAAAGTATTCTATTCTATTCTATTCTATTTTATTCTATTCTATTCTATTCAAATGCTCACTGCATAAATCAATTTTTAAGAAAATATTATATAGTAATGGTTTCAACACAGATCCTTGTTGGATTTTAGTTCTTGGTTCCCTCTATTGAGAAAGTTGCTCACTTATTCCCATACTTTGCTTTCTATTTTAACTAGTTAAAACTGTTCACAAAAAGAATAATAATAATAATAAAGTTGTATTATTCCTCAACTACAGTTTCCCTAACACCCTTTGACTGTCAAAGACTTTTTTGCAAACCAGAATATTCACTGTTATTGGAGTCATCTCTAGCCACATGCTGGCCACACCCCCAGAAGTGAAATGAAGCCAGATTTACTTTAAAACAAAAAACAAAAAAAACCACACCTTTACACTGCTTGTCCTTAAACATGGTTTGTTCCTCTATATGCCTAGTTATTATTCTATCTTTATCTGCTGAAGGAAGCTCTCATCACTCTAAGACTCATTAAGATTCTTTAGGATTTAAGCAATTGAAAGAAATCCCAAATAAAAACACAGTCCGTTACCATGAGGTTCCGGATGATCCAGTCATATATGAAATACAGTCCAAAAGCTTTGTTCTCTGGAGACCCCAAAGGGTGCCATAAAGAGCTGTTAATGCTCTCATACCAGCTCCTGTTGTTGTCATAGCAACCACTGGGACCTGTTCAATTAAAGAAAAGAACATGTTATGATTGTGAAGGTAAAAAAGTTCTCAAAGAATTCTGTTAAAATCTTTCAGCCTAATATATTTGATTTGTCATAAGTTTTCATTGATAGGCCTGTACTTCATCAAATGCCATATTTGACTGGGATATGTATGGGGGGGAAAATAGATGGATTACTATATTAAAAAAAACACCTTACATAAATATAACAGACAAAACTGTATACACGGTTTTAAACAGGGGACATTAAAGAAAGACTCTCAAGTTCAAAAATGCCACAACAGCCAAAGGTAAATACTACACTGCCAATCCTCAACTTACAACCACGACTGCGAGCAGAATTTCCATCATAAGTAATTCCATTGCAAATCGAGTTGGACCCAATTTTGCAACACTTTTTACACTAGTTGATAAGCAAATTAGTGCAGTCATTAAGCTAATCATGTGATTGTTAAGGGAATCCAGGTTCCTTAATGGGGGTTTTTTTTGCCAGAAATTGGCAAAAAAAAGATCACAAATCATGATCACATAACTGCAGGCTTCTGCAACCAGTTATAAATGTGAGCCGACTGCGAAAAAAAATGCAAAAAGGAAAGATAAAAAGAAATATGAAGAAGTAGCTTCTGAATGTTTTTTTACAACAAATACTAATATGATTACAAAATTAGACCTCACTCTTTGATTACAAAAGAAAAGCTCTCTTTTTTCTATTATCTAGTGTGTGTGTTTTCTAATCGTCAAACCCCACAAATCATAAGTTCATTTTTTTTTCATACCAAAAGTCTGTAAGGGGAGGCCCGTAGATTCATAGTGGTTTAGTACAGATAGTCCTCGACTTATGGCTATAATTGAGCCCAAAATTTCTGTTGTTAAGTGAGACATTTGTTAAGTGAATTTTGCCCCATTTTACGACCTTTCTTGCCATAGTTGTTAGGTGAATCACTGCAGTTTATAACTTAGTAACTTGGTTGTTAAGTGAATCTGGCTTCGCAATTGACTTTGCTTGTCAGAAGGTCACAGAAGGGGATCATGTGACCTTGAGCCACTGCAACAGTCATAAATATGAACTGAAGCAGCTGAATTTTGATCACATGACCACAGGGATGCTGCAAAGGTCACAACTTTGAAAAACAGTCATAAGTCACATTTTTCAGGGCTATTGTAACTTTGAACGGTCATTAAACGAACAGTTGTAAGTTGAGGACTACCTGCACATGCAGTTTGGAGGGGATTGGGTTGATACTTGCTTTGAGCTCCACTTACTTCATGCTCGTTCAGGTCTTGCCCCAAAGAGAGAATACTTTTCAGAGCTGCAGCAACCACTTTCTTTCGTTTCTGCAGGAAATTATTTTCATCTGAGCACAGACCATATCCTAGGCGCACATCAAGAGCTTTTGGTCTTTTAAACCACAGCCACTGGGTCCTAAGGTAGACAAGGATATCCATTATAAATGTTGCTGCATTGTATTGGCTTAAATCTAGCAAAGAGACATTTATTAATCTCTGGGAGGACTAATCATATGCAACTCATTGTATCAGCCTATCAAGAGCCTTGGAAAGAACAAATAGCTTCATTGTGAAACATTGCAATATCAGGGCCACGACGACTATTTTTGCAACAACCTGGATGGACAATTAACCAGGCATATGCAGAGAAACAGGGTAATGACCAAAAGCCAGCATGGATTCATTAAAAATGGGTCATGTCAAACAAATCTTATGGCTGCCTTGGACAATATGACTAGACTGACAGACCAGACTACAATCAAATTTCACTAAGGCATTGGATAAAGTAGATCATTGCCTCCTTCTTGATAAATTGGAACATTGAGCCATATCCAACAAAATGTTATTCCATTGTGTGAAATGTAAGTTTCTGCATTTAAGCAGGAAAAAGTAGATGCATATGTACATGTCACAGGCAGTCCTCAACTTACTACCAGTTGTTTAACAATTATTCAGAGTTACAATGGATTAAAAAAATGTTATTTGTGGCCCATCTTTGAAGTTATGATTGCCACCCCATGGTCACATGTTTGCATTTCGGGCATTTAGCAACCAGATTGTGTTTATGATCAGCTGCAGCATCCTGGGGTCACATGATAATGTTTTGTGAGGTTTTTGGCTGTTTTGGGAGGAAAAAATGGCCAAAAACCCCCAAATGGATAAGCTGGATTTAGACTTAAGACCATGTGAGTCACTTAATGACTACATGGATCATTAACAATCATTGTGACCCACTTCACAATCATCATAAAAACAGTTATAAAATTGAGTCCAGTCACATTATGTCTAGACTTATGACTCCAATAATTTACAACCAAAATTCTGGGGTTAATTGTGACCATAAGTGAACAATTACCTATAGACAATATTTGTGAGATGAATCTGGTTATCTTGGTAGACTACAGATTGAGCCAGCAATGCCCCACAACTGCCAAAAGAGCCAAGAAGTAACAAGGATGCTAACTTCAATTGTGTATGCTATCCAGAGTCACATGCAAACAAAATGGGTAACAATGAATGAACAAACGACCAAACAAATGAATGAATGAATGGTTTCGCAAGCTGTCTGGATCCCGCGTGTGTGTATGGGGCTTGACTCATTTGCGCAGCCCAGTTCCTCATAGGCCGCAGCCCGGTTCCAGTCCAGAATCTGTGGGCTGGAGACCCCTGGATTAGAAGACTCCCAAGGTCAGTCCAACCCCTATGATTCTATGATTCAATCAAGCTGTTTTACAGTGATTGAATGTATTTCTTTTTCCTTTGTTCTAATCTTTTGTGGCTCTTTGAAATCCTATAACTTCTCCAAATATAGCCATTAGTTATCTCTAAATAGATAATTTGAAAGGATGCAGGAGATAGCAGGTGTTCTTAAATAATTACAGTTCTCCATCGCAGAATATCTCCATTAAGACCAAAAAAATTAGACAATATGTGTGAAGTTATTGTTCAGGATTAGAAAATGGCTCCTTACCATTCCTTTGCCTTCACACTCAAATCAATTATTTTGTCCTAAGAAAAAGTAAGAAATAAAATATGATTAAATGCTAGAGGATGTTTTATGCTTTCATTTCTTTCAACCTCAGAAGACATTTCACTTTCTCAATAATTGACACCTTTGTGGTGACTCAATAAGAGTTTCAGTGCAAAGAATTAAGCACAAGCAATTGCCCTCATCCTAAAACATTGCAAATTGGAAGCTTTATCTCAGAATTGGATAAATTACCTCTCACATATGTCTCACCAGATCCAAATTTTAGCATAAAATAAAGAATTAAAGAATCAAACAGATTTAACAGATATAAATTGGTGTAGACAATAGAAAAACTATCTAACAAGACTTCAGGTAGTCATAGGTTCATAATTACATTGTAGATCTTAATTTGTTTCTTATTAATTTTTTGTTTAAATTAGACAGATTGAAAAAAACAAGAACTAGAGATTTACTTCAGGATTGACTAGTGATCAAAAGAACTCTTGAATCTAATCATAATGCAATAAGTGAGGCTTAGCTGAAATAATAATTTATGAGGAAAAGTTGGTAAATCTGAAACTCTTTAATCAATTATATTCTCCCTCCTCTCTGGTGCTGCATAATGCTACAAAACTTAGCATATTCCAGACTATATTTAAAAGTTATATCAAACAACAGGAATAATAAGAAAGAATTTAAAAAATATTCCTATGAAGTTGACAGTACAAATAGCATGTTAGAAGCCAATAACATTGAACATTATAATATAGTCACATATGTGAAGTCACTGGCCTTCTTTGCCCAACTTTTGCCCACCCTTGATACCCATGTTTTCATATTATCCCTTTGAACTAAAAGTATATTTGCATATTTTTGTCCTAAAAAGGCAACAGCTGATTCTCACCGGTGTTATCGCCACTTTCTCATTTATTGGAAGTGAGTTCAAGGGAACAGTTGTTGTTTCATTACTTTCTCTGGAAATCTGCATATAAAATAAGTTCTGCTGGTTAATGACCGCAATACATTCATTTGAATTTGAATAAATAAGTTAATGTCTGCTAGGAAAAAGTGTGACAAGGAATTGACTGGGGCTAGAATGGCTGTGGTAATCATGAAGGAATATTTGATGCCCAGGAAGTGGAATAACCACCGGTTGTCTCACCACTAATTTCCTTCAAGCTATTTAAGCAGGGACTTCAGCAACTTTGGGCTTGTTCTGATTTTTGGAAATGTTCTAGATTGATTACTGATGGCAGTCCACTGCTCAGCCCAAAGCATCAAACTACTAAAAATTATAAGGTATTTCCACCCAATCCCCAAAGTCACATTTGTACTGACTGATAAGCATTCTCATGACAGATGCCAAGAAATTGACCATTGTGACCTCCCTCCAATTATTATTATTAGCATATGAGGTTATTACAATATCCAGGAGACCACAATGCAATTGTAGAGTAGTAGTTTGGCTTGCTAAGATACTAGCTTTGTTATAGTACATGCTTGCACCCCTTTCCAAGGTGCAACACAGGAGGGTGAGCTGGCTTCACAACAGAGAGAAAGTATGGCTCTTCCTGCAGCATCACCCAAGGCCCCTTCCCTTCCTGGAGCTGCCTCATAAGTGGGTGCTGCAACCAGGAATTTTCAGAGCCTTCGGGAATCTGACTGCATGCACAGAGCACCAGCTCCTCTCCCCACCAAAGTGGTACCTATCTAGCTACTTGCATAGAACATGCTTTTGAACTGTTAGGTGGACAGAAGCTGAGGCAAGTGATAGGAGCCTACCCTGCCATTCCAACGCTTGGGCTCGAACTGCGGAGCTGAGACCATCTCCAGAATCATTAAGCCACTGAGCGTCTTACCTCATTTCCACCAATGAGGCTGTATAAAAAAAATGATGCTCCAACCACTACCCCAGTCCCACCTCAATATTTCCAATATTGTTTTATGGGGTGGGGTAAAAATAGGTATTATAAAGACACCAAGGTGTGCCTTAAATCCAGCAGTCAGGATTGGGGAACAGTATCAAGGTACAAGAGTTTATTTGCAAAGTTTCCCCTGGAGCAGCAGTTGAAGCAGAAGTTAAGTGGCTCAGCTGCTGGAGGCCTCCCTGGAGAGACACAGCTATGCAACACACTCTCAGATAGGCACAGGCTATAAGTATGGAGACAAGCAACTTACTGCACAGAACTGCCTTCTTGGCAATTCAATTTTAAGGTCTGATTGGTTGTATTTGATATAGTGAAATTTAGCAGGAGAAGCAGGGCAGAGCCAGTAACCTAAATTGAGATTTTGAGCTTCTTCATAGGATCCACCCACTGAAAGAGTAAAAGTTCTTTCTAAATGAAAGACAAAACAAGATTGAGATTAATTAATGATCCTATGAAAATATGCACAAACATTGAAAATGCCATTTAGATTCCTTGATTAATGAAAAAATTCTTGATAAGAAAGAAAATAAAAAGAAAAAAGAAGAGAGAGGAGAGGAGAAGGGAAAAGGAAAGGGAAAGGAAAGATATCTTTATAAATTGCCCCTTTAATCCCCAACCCCAACTCCATACTATTTTGAAGACTACCTAATGCTTTTTAGGAAGTGCAGAATTTAACAAGAACCAAGGAAATTAATCCCCCCCTTCTTTCTGTGAGTAGACCTTCATTCCCTGATCACTTGATTCAATCATTAGATTGGAGAGCAATATAAATTGAACTCATATTCTGTCAGTATGTGGGTTCCAGCATCACACATTAGGGATTCCTTTAGAATATGAAGGTTATCAAACCATGCAAAATGGTTTTGAGAGATATTTAAAAGAATATCTAAGAGTACTTGTAACAGACCAAATTTACATACTGAAAACAGTGATGAATTATCAAGAAATTAATAACCATCTTCACGAGTGGCCATTGCCATAAGATAGAGTAAGATGACATATATGAAAGCTGACTGTTCCTTTAGTATCCTCCCAGCCACCCCAGCGTTGAAGGATATTGCTCTGGTATTGAAGTGGCATACAACTGCCAAGAGGAAGGAGATGTCATGTGATCCTTTGCCTCAGGCATCTAATTTTCATAGGCTGCTCCAGATTCTCTCATTTTATTGCCAGATTAGAATATGCAAGGAAACTGTACCCCTGAAAAGGTAAGATAGGTATTGCCCCTGTGTTAAGTAACAGGTTCAACATAGATCTAGGGTGCAACAAGATTTTTTTTCCCTCAAAACATGAATTATTCAGAATTTGCTCTATCAGGATGAAATTAAATAGCATATTGTAACTACTTGGCAGTATACATCAAAAGGGGTATTACTTTCCACTGGATGTTGCATCCTTTATTGCATTTTCACAAAAGCAATTCTTTATAACATCTTTGGGGAGAAGTGATAAAAAGGAGACAGTATAGATCTGATCTTTTTCTATGAGATATAGACAGATCATATCTTTTTCTATAGATTTCGCCAATCCTGCACAACCATATGCAGCACCCCATTGTGGGGAGTTTATAGCTGACCTAATTTTGCTAAATGTTGGACACTACAAACACAAACACAAAAAGTTCTGTGAAGCTTGGGATAGGCCACAGTTCACAATTAATAGACATTGTTTCACATGTCTCTGATGAATGTTGTAGATGAACTATGAATCTTAACTTTACATTTCTGTATTTCATCTGTACCATAAATTCAATACATAACCTTAGAGTAGATTCCCCCCCCCCACTAACAGGAATAACATTTACTTTCCTTTCAGAATTGTAGTAACAATTTCGCTATTTTAATGGACAAAATTGCAACTGTTATATAAATGTTACATATACTTTTTAAAAGTTCAGTTGTGTTTTTAAATCCAAATAAATCAATTTTAATAAAGCTGTCCCATTGTAGAAATAGATAAAAATAAATTGATACATATACTGACATATTTTTATATATGTGTTATAGGACTTCTGAAAATGTATGAGGGATTGTCATGGGAAAATAATTGCCCTTTTTCAGATCCCATTGGATAATCCATCAGCAGAAAAATCTTTCTAAATTTAATATAGTCAACTGTCTTATAGTGGCCTATAAAAATTTACATTTAAAATTAAATGGGGAAGGGAATGTCTAAAATAAATGGCAAAAATGACAAAATGTATTAATTATGTGTTCAGATCAGCAGTTATCCAAAATGCTTTGAATGATAAGGCCCAAAATTGTTGAATTTGTCAACAATTTCTAATAAAAGTCAAAATCCATCATGCATGCCTTTTTCCCCATTTAATCCAAATTAATTTTGAATTTTGCTTTAGAGAAGATGTACTATTTGTCAACATTTTACTTTTCTGGAATGTTACTAATGCAATTAAAATGTTTTTGAATGTTCCAGAAGATCATAGCAGTTCAGTACAGATCAGGAAGGAACAGCTTGCAGAGAGGAAAACAAGATACTAATCAGTTCTTCTTGAATAATATAAAAATCAAAAATTGTATTTTACCTGGTAAGACACTTTTTCTTTTCCCCCCATTCACTTGAACTTCTAAACAGGCAACTTCACGAGACTGTATAAGATTTGTTATAAAAAAAGTGCAATAATAAAAGATGTGGTATAGGGCAAAGTTACATTTTTATACTTCTATCCTATGAGTCTGTTATGCAGAATGACATGAAATTTAAGTGGTATAAAAGACATCAAGCCCTAAGCACAGGATTTATTTATAAGCACTATGATAACAATATGCACAAATAAAACATATGAAGGAATAATTAAGCTTAGTGTTTTTAATTTTTTTGAAACATTTTCCCTTTCTACCCTCTAGTCAATTTCCATTTGTTTCCAGATTGCAAGATATGTTTCATGCTTGGCTTTTCTAAGTTTAGAATTTAAATTTACAAGTATTTGAGTAAATCCTTCCACACCAACAAGCAGCCCTAGTAGGTATGAAAGAAAGGCTAGCCAGGCCATGAAACTGTGGGATCAGATAATACAACATCTAAAAGTATGTCCAGCTCATCTGCTTGTTTTCTGTCTTCCAAAGTATCTGCGTGTCTTGAAATAGTAGAGACAGAGGAGATTCCTGGATTTTATACTTTCAGAAGTGGGCTCAACTTGTAATTTGTTTTTCAATTATCTATTTGAATCCACTCAGTTACTCATTTTTCTTCACTCTGGGACAATTTAAATCATTTCAGTATCCAAGATAGCCTAATTTATATGTTTGCTATATTATTATTTTAGATTTTTTTTAATTCCTCATTATTACTTTATAGGTAACTCAAAGTGGTGAATATACATAATACTCTTTCTATCTCCCGTGCTGCCATATTCTCCACAATAACCCTGTGAGTTGAGCTGGGCTGAGAGAGAGTGTCTTGCCCATTCCTGTCAGACTGTAACGAAATGTTTGGTTCATCTTTTTTTATATTTGTTTCTTTTTTATTCTTCCATGCACACTTTGCTCTCTGCCTTTCTTTTTATTCTTTACGGTTTTGCTTGATAAATTTGGACAGGTACAATTTTATATGCTAGTTCTAATTCAGATAATCACACCAAATACAGAATTTAGGATTATTTTTTTTCATTGTGACCTGGTTATCTTTATATTGGTGCTGTTGTTGTTATTTGCATCTTTCCTCCTGAAGGCAAGATCTTACAGACACACGTGGCAACACATTGCTCAATTTTCCAGCTAGATATTGTCCTTTGAGCAATAGAAAAAATGCTCATCCAGACCTTGTAGTACAATCTCTTGTCCTAACCTTTTTAAGCCTTAAAATAAGCTATCATAAGCAAATATTTATAAACATAACAATGTATTTTTATAATATATAAGTGCATAAAATAGGTTGAGAGTCAAAGCTTGATCTGAGTGCAATTTCTTTGATACCAATATCAAAAAAGAATGCAGTACAAATATTTGCTCTTTTCTACCCCTCAGAATGGGGAAGATCTGATATAGAAGCTTGCACTTAAAATGTCTCTTCTTGCCCAGACTTGTTCCAAGACAAGTGTTTCAGTAAATTGTCCAAATGAACAAGTTCTAGGCAATCACCCAGAGGAATGTTAGGATGGACAGAAGCTGAGCATCCTTAGTTTAAGACCCTTCCCTTCCCCAGCTATTCAGTTCAAGAACTAGAGTAGAAAGCAAAATTACCACTAAGACTCCATTGGTAAGAATTTTTTCTGGAACGTCAGGGCTGAAAAGGGGAAAAAATACACGATTTCAGTCAATGTTTTAACAAGCAGGGAAATATTCCTTTTGACATATTTGTAATCTTCCATGCCTCAACTCCATAGTTCACTGGTTTAACTAGATATTCATCAGATTTAGTGAGGAGGAACATGTCTCCATCAAAGAGTATCTGGGCTTAGCTCAAAAGCCCTTTATATGGTATTCTTTCTAGAGAAAATGGAAGCAAGATGGAAGGGCTACTAGAGCTACTATGATCATTGATTAAAAATGACACTCTTCTATTATTGCCAGATTAATTAAATCTGGATGCATATTGACAGTAGTATCTAGTAGATAAGGTCTAAACCAAGCTGTCTATGCTGGTAACACTCTTTTATGGTTACAGTATTTGCTCTTACCTGCTCTCCATTGTGAATTCAACCTCTAGTTCCTCCTTGCCCTGAAAATATAAAATAAATAAAATGTTTATATTTTTACACATTTCTGCACATTCCTTTAGGAATAAGCCCTTTTAATGCTTAAATTCTTCAATAAGGTTCCTTTGCAGAAACATACAATGCAACCAGGTCTTTCCCCACCAGCACCCACAAGTTAAATATAGATGATTAATTCAGGGAAATCAATATAACTGAACAAGCTAATACATTGACTCTTATGTATAATATTTACTGAATATTTTTACAGATCGAGTGATCTATATACCTAGAAATAGAAAAGTAAAAACAAAATAAATATTTGTTATAATTTTTATATGTCAAATTTCAAACCAGAGACATCCAGTAGAAGCCACAGTGATGTTACAGACATCACAACAAATCAAATAAAAACATCCAATTTGCACATAACTCATGTTATTACTTGTCTTATCTGTGTGACTATGCTCTTGATAAAGGATCTGCTGTCCAAAATGAAAAAAAAATGGAAATAAATGGGGCAAATTAGTTTATTATTAATCTGTCTTAATTTAAAGGCTATTTGTATGGCTATCACTCTGGAGTGACATTGTTGTCCATGTTCCTAATTTGTCTAAAACTTCTCAACTGAAACATGTAAAGGAGAATGGATACAGGTCACATTAGTGATAATGTGGAGAAACATCTGAGTTTTTCTTCTATTCTCCAAATCCTACATTTATCTTCTACCAGTCCTCATTTAGACTGCTGTAAAAAGTATTTGGTTTAGATGTATTTGTAATGGATTAGGAATTACGCATGTTGTTACTACATCTATTTGAATGTCCTGTTCCTCATTGTTCAATCACCTATCAGAAGGCCTGTAGCTACCCTGACTTCCCATGCTTCCATTAAGTGCCAGGGAAAACCCATGCGGCCTTTTCTGTAATGATTTTACTGTCATTACTAAAAAGAAGTTCTACCCTTGAAAAATCGAGAATCCTTCCTACACTGGACAAATTCAAAGACTTTTTTAGCCCACAAAAATAATCCCAAAAACTCATAAGTTACATATTTTATATGAAAAATACTATCTTATGCAGACCACAAAACATCTGCTTTTAATATGGCTCCACATTAGCAGAGTGAGAAGGTTGTGAAAACTAAGAGAAACGGGTCTTTTCCTTCAAGCAGAAGAAGCAGGCTTGTTAAGTTTAGCAGTCACCTTTGGATTCAGCTGAAAGCTCAGGGGAACAGATTCTCCAAGTTGGATTTTGGATACATCAAACAAAACAGTGAGGAGATGGTCATCTTCTGTAAGTTTGTCTTCATCATAGATATTAAATTCTAAAATATTCTGGAGAAAGCAACAACAAAAAGAACTTCAGAATTCCATCTGTGTCTTAGGCTAGCATCCTGCCTCAGCCTATTTTTCCCCCTTGATATTTCATTTGTTGTTAGGCAACACAAGAGTGAACATTTCTTTGCAAAAATAATGGAGAAATTATACTGTATGTAGCAATAGTACTTACTAGCAATTAGTGCTATTAGTACTTAGCAGTAGCTTAGCTTAGCACTTAGCAATAGCACTGAGACTCTGGAAAAAGTGCAAAGAAAAGCAACTAAGATGATAAAAGGCCTGGAGACAAAAACATATGAAGAACAGTTGCAGGAAATGGGTATGGGTAGTCTAGAGAAAAGTAGGACTTGGGGTGACATGATAGTAGTATTCCAGTATTTGAGGGGCCTCCACAAAGAAGAGGGGGTCGACTTATTTTCCAAAACACCAGAAGGCAAGACAAGAAACAATGGATGGAAATTAATTGAGGACAGAAGCAACCTGGAATTAAGGAGAAACTTCCTAACATTGAGAACAATTAACCAGTGGAACAGTTTGTCTTCAGACATTGTGGGTGCTTCATCACTCGAGGTTTTTAAGAAGAGACTGGACACCCACTTGTCTGAAATGGTATAGGGTCTCCTACTTGAGCAGGTGGTTGGGACTAGAAGAGCTCAAGGTTCTTTCCAGCTCTGTTCTGATTGATTGATGTACCACTTCATAGTGCTTTACAGCCCTCTCTAAGCAGTTTGGAGTATACAGCCTCCAACAATCTGGGTCCTCATTTTACCAACCTCAAAAGGATGGAAGGTGAATCAACCTTGAGCCAGTCAGAATCGAACTTTTGGCAGCAAGCAGCATGTTAGCTTGCAATACTGCGTTCTAACCACTGCTTAATCACTGCTCTAGTACATGACTTGTTTGTTTTTATTTATAATTGCAGATTCTGATTACATAAATAGATTACATAATCCATCAAACGATAATTGATTTCCATAGAACAGGATGATGATGATGATGATGATGATGATGATGATGATGATGATGATGATGATGATGATGATGATGATGATGATGATGATGATGGAAGAGACCTTGGAGGTCATTTAGTCCAGCCCCCTGCTCAGGAAGGAAACCCTATACCTTTCAGACAAATGGCTGGCCAGTCTCTTCTTAAAAACTTCCAGTGTTGGAGCATTCACAGCTTCTGGAGGCAGGTTGTTCCACTGATTAATTGTTCTAACTGCCAGGAAATTTCTCTTAGTTCTAGGTTGCTTCTCTCTTTGGTTAGTTTCCATCCGTTGCTTCTTGTCTTGCCGTCAGATGCTTTGGAGAATAGCTTGACTCCCTCTTCTGAGGGAGATATTGGATCACTGCTATCTCGTCCTTCTCTTCATTAAGTTAGACATACCAATTCCAGCAACCGTTCCTTATATGTTTTAGCCTCCAGTCCCCAATCACCTTTGTTGCTCTTCTCTGTACTCTTTCTAGAATCTCAATTTACTTGCCAATAAAATGACAAGATATGAATTATTGTAGGAACCCATGTGAAATTTAGCCCAGTAACTCCAGGTCCTATTGTGCATACTGCAGTGTAATCATGGAAAAGTTCTACTTTATTAACATGAAATTAAATATGGATTTGTAGAGCTTTCCAGGAAACTTTTTAAAAATGCAAAAGGAACCAGATTTTATTTGTTTGTTTTTTGCCCAACTCCCAGTGACTCTGGGCAGTTTATACATAACTGCTATCCATCCAGGGAACAAACGTTTCTTACAAGTAAAAAATGGGGAGAAGTTAGGCCTACTCTGCCTTGAGGGTTTTCCCAGTTGTTTTGGTCTCTGTAGATTTGCACAGAGAACTCTCCACCTGTGTCTATAGGTGGAGTAAAGCTGCTGTGCCCGGACAGACATGTGGAGGCAACAGAGAAAATCTTGTAAATAAATGCACCATACAGTTAGGGTATTTTCATATGCTGTTTGAAATGCTTGAAAGATGAGTGAAAGAGACATCAGGTGTGTGTGTCATTGTTGTTTGTTGTGAGGCAACAAGGGAGGTGAAATGGCAAATTTCCACTGTTGCATTATCTCTTGCCTGTGGGCAGTGGTGGGATTCAGCCGGTTCACACCACTTCGGCAGAGCTAATTTTTTGTTGCCCAGGCCCAGAATGGACTTCCAGAAGCGGCATCCACACAGAGAACCGGTTGTTCACATATTTGAATCCCACCACTGCCTGCGGGTCTGATTCTTGAATCCCCTTGAATCTCTTGTTGAATTGATTGATTGATTCACAGTCAAGACCTTTTGTTTGTTTGTTTGCTCTGGTTTATGTTTACTTGAAGTGACAGTTGCATAGCAAGCAGAACTTGAAATATTGGGAGATATTATTCTAAAAGTATGCAACCAGTCATGAATTTATCAAAACTAGTCTCATTTCATAGTTTTAGCCTCTCTACATTATTATTTGTATACTGAGTATAAAAGAGACCCCGCCCCCCCCAAAAATCTAAGAATTTCCTCATAGAAATTGGGCCTTCAATGGCATCTGATTGGAGAGGAGATGAATGTAAAAAAATCAGTATGGCAGCTGTGATCACATGATCAAAGCCCAGCCTTTTCTTAAATGTGTCAGAGATAAAAGGGGGCAGGATTGCAATTGCACAGTGACAACTACCATCTTGACTTCATTTCCCCACCCAAACAAGGACAGCCTGTCACACTTGGTACCTTCTAAATGTATTGGAACACAGCTCCAAGAATTACCTTACCTTTACTTTATTCTGAATTCTGAAGTGAAAAGTTTCATTCCACATGGGATCCTTGGAATCTTTGATGGTCTGTGTCTTCATTGTTTTCACTGAAGCGGTAGGTAAGTATAAACTCACATAGCAGTCAGACTGGGTTACTGTACCAAAAGACACAGGCCTTTACTAATAATGTAGCAATGTGTCATGATTACATGCGAAGTTCTATCAGTTTCTCATTATGTAAAGTTATTTAGTCACATCAATTGAACCAATCGTAGATCCAAATAGAGGATAGCAGGAGAAAAAGGGGTTGAAGTCAGAAGAGATAGGACAGACATGGCTAGTCCACAATATATGGATTTAAAATACATTATTAGTAGATTGCAAAACGATAATTATGGACTTCCTTGGGGTAATGAACCAATCTAGTATAGAAACATACTCTAGCTGGAGAAAAGTGTTGTTGACATTTTTTATGGTGGATTCATGATTCAAAATGTATAGGAACACTATTCAGGGTTTTCAAATTTCTTTGTTCATATAAGTGCAACAACTTGTATATGTATTTTTGTTTTGTTTTAATGCCATGACCATTCCCAAAGGCTCTGGATAGCTAACAAACATCACAAAGCAATCCCCCCACAAATAAATCCATCCACAAAATAAATCAAATATAACATCAAAAATTATACAAAAAGAAAAAAAGAAATATAAACAGGGATGCGACTGTGCACCAGGGGGAGTAGTACAACTTTTCTTCTGGGCCTAACCACACAAGCAAAGTCTTAATCTTCTTATCTTTTGAGTAGGATCTTTCAAAACTGGGCCAACTTTATGCTTTGGCTAGTTTACAGTAAATTGTTACCAGTAAAATGGCTGGATTTGGCTTTGTAATCAAGCAAACACCTACGTCTATCCTCATTTCTAATTTTGCCTTAAATTAACCAGAGAAGGAGACACATACGGTAAATTAATAAAGTTATCCATGTACCTAAACAAATAATAATAATAAAGGATTCTTGAGCTAAGGTGTTAAGAACCTGTCAAAGCTTGTAAATTAAAGCAGAACTAAATGTGAATACAAGAGAGCAGATGCCTAAGCAAGCTCCTATGTTTTCAAACAAGAATGTTTGCATACAGTCTTCTTGAGTAGAACAAAGAAAAACAGGGATGCAATAGCATACTTTAATACTAGACACAAGAAGCTTTAGTATTTGTAAGGTTTGAGAGCTATTTTAAAATATATACAACAAGCAGAAAATTAATGGATAAACACACTTGCATGGAAATGCAAAATGTACACTAGTCTTCTTAGATTTTACAAAAGAGAGAGGTTTTTCCCATACGTCAGGTAGAGATGGTTCGTACTCCCTATAGAACGATGCTCTTTCGTGCACATAAACTGCCATCATAACCCTCGGATAACTCTTGAGCAATAGAATACACTTGGCTGAGCACAAGGCTTATATTTAATGGCATTACAGACATTTAACTAAGACTATTAAACAAGATGCTAATTATCACTCCTACTGGCAAGGCTGTGGCTTAATTGTGCTGCATAACCGGAAACACCAAAGCAAAAATATTCAGGTAACAATGCTTTTGTTGTATGCCATGTTTCAAAAGTGACATAGTTGCTCCATAATATTCCTATTTTCTTAGACTCCGGTGGAAACTACCTCTGGTGGAAACTAACACTGAGTTGAGGAGAAAAGTCTTGAGTCTTTTGTGGGGAGCAAGAGGCTGAAGGGAGATCCTCCCTAAATTTTGCAATATTTATTTAGTAGTTGTGCAGTGTGTGCTTCAGTCTGGCAAGATTCATCTCTCTAGGTGAGCATCAAAAAATATATTGATCTCATCCCATTGTGCCCTTTCTGGTTCCTTGCACCTGACATGGATATTTTTAAAAAATAGACTAATCAAACAGCTGATGATAAAACTCACATTAATTTGAATAAGGATTCTTAGTACATCATGGACTTCCACATGCTGGCATGCTAATTAAGAGACTTCTTTGCTTTCAACCATTTTATACTAAGCTAACAGAGAAATTACACTAGCTCCAATTTCCCTGAAAAGCCATATCATGCTTGTTGACATGCTAAAATATTCAAACACAATTTGTAACACCATGAAAAACCCACCCTGACATTCCAAAATTAGCTGAATTCAGAGCATCCTTAAATAAGAGTGCCAATTTTTACCTACTACCATATTCCAGAAGATTCATATGGAGACTTATTACTAAGTTATTTCCTAAAAGGAGAAATCTCTCTGCACGCCGAGCCTTTCCATCCATCATCCCTTCATGAATGTGACTAAGCAGTGAGCCTGGTTAGAGATAGAGAACCTGGAAATAAATTAGAAGCAATGGCTATATCACTCATAGGCAAGCAACAACTCTGTTCTGTTGAAAGACTGATATATAGAAGAAGGAAAACATTAGTGGGCAGAAAAAGTTATGATAGTTTCATGTCACAGAATACTACATTTACTGCCCTGAACTCATGAAGATGTTATATAATCCTAAAAAATAATAAAAATGCTCAATCTCCAGAATGTTTGAATGGGTCATCAGCTTATGTCTATATCAGCCTAAACAGTAGAAGTGAAATCCTATATAAAAACCATGAATCAGCCACAATATCTATGAGTATATATAATGGATGTTCTATCTACGAATCAAATGTGAGTGGTTTCAGAAGTGAGGCTGATACAGCAGATTGATAGGGAGGAAAATATGTCAAAAGGTTAAGGGAAATATTTATTGATTTATTGATTTGTTGATTTATTGATTTGTTGATTTATTGATTTGCTGATTTATTGATTTGTTGATTTATTGATTTATTGGTTTATTGATTGATATCAAATTTAGGCACTGTCCATCTCACTATCTAAGTGACTCTGTGCAATTGGGGAAGGGATCCTATGATATTTCCAGCATACCTAGAGAAAATAAGATTCACCATATTGGTTGAGATTTAGATTTAAAAGGCAGGTACTGAAGCAAACTGGTTCTGCCATATTCTGCAAAGAAAGGTGGGAGGAATGAAAATCAAATCATCTTCTAAGATGGCGTGTGAGTAACTTTTTTCCCACTTTTCTAGCATGTTAATAATCAGTCCTGTTGAGATCCTGCAAGCACAACCTGTCCACCCATCTGCCTCCACAATTCATTTTAATATTGTGTCATCTCTGTTTCCTAATTATTGTCACTCCTTAATCAAGTCTGATCACATGGAATTCTCTGTTTCCTCGCCACCCAGGCTCAGAGTTGCAGTGGTGAACTGAAGTATGTAGGGCAAGAACCGGAAGAAGCATATACGAGGGCAATTTGGAAATAAACCTCCATTTGGTTATCAATGACAGACACTCGCAGATACAGAACTTCTATTATACACATTAGAAAACTATAACACTACATTACTTTTCAACATAATTATCATTCAAATTGAGACACTTGTCATAACGTCTTACAAGGTTTGAAATTCCTTAGTAGTAGACGTTTGGCACCAAATCTGGGCTATGGGGGGGGTGATCAAAAACATCCCAACGGAACTGCTTCAAAAGTTCTTGGGTGCGTCTAGCGATGTGCAGGTGAGCATTATCGTTAACCAAACCACACCAGAAGTGGTGCCATAGAAAATCCCCCCCAAATGTGAAGATGCCAAAGGGGCACTGCTAGTGAAGTGGTTTGACCATCAATTCAGAAGTATACTGTGAAACATTACGAAAACTCAGACGAGCCATCCATAACAAGTGTCGGGGCATGCTGACTTCCAGTGTAGTGTTGGTTCACAATAATGCTCGCCCGCACACAAGGATGTGCCAAATATCTTGAACCAGTAGGAACAAATGGAATTTTAGAGAATGACCTAAGCACAAAATGGCTTTCAGGTAAGCATTCATGCTTTCACAAAATAAACACAGCAGCACCCCCATTCTACAGATGAAGTTTAAAGGAACTTTTCAAAAAAACAATGTTTATGTCCATGGGAAAATGGTGGAGAAAACAAAGAACAAGGGTATTTTTAATTTTCAAAAGAAAATAAGTAGGACAATAAAAAAGAATTTATGTGCCTCCTGTTGACCATAGGAACCACAATGGAGCCTCAGGATTAAAATCTAAACTACTATACTTGTACTATCTTTTCTAATAAAAAGTCAAGAAAATACCAAGACCATCTATTTCAGAATAATTGTAAATATGTTTTTGAAAGGAGTTTAATTATATGAAGCACATAAAACTAGGACAGGTAAAACCTATCCTAAGCAAAGTATCTGGAGAAGGCAGATCTTTTGTCCTAATGACTGAAAAGAACTATAATAAATTCAATTCAATACATTTATTGTTATGGCCAGTGTTGTAACCAGCATGATGATGTTACAGTGTGCCTTCAGAAATAGCTGATTCCTGACTATCATTAAATCCAGAGAGTGCAGTCTTCAGGTTTGTGTGGGTTTTTTTGAAATCACATGTTTTGCCATCTGGGTGGCAGGAAACTTGCTGTTGCAGTTTTTAAATAACTGGGAAACAGAACTCCTTTATAAAGTTCTTCAAACCAACTTTACTTACAGTAAGTCTGAAGATAGCAATAGCATTAGTATTTAGGCTTATATACTGCTTCAAAGCACTTTACATCACTCTCTAGATGATTTACAATGCAGAAGCATTATTTGCATATTGACCTCAATAATCTGGGTTCTCATTTTACTGACTTCAGAAGGATGGAAGGCTGAGTCAATCTTGAACCAGTCAGGATTAAACTCCTATCTGTGGCAGAGTTTGCCTGCGATACTGCACTTTAACCACTGTGTCACCAGGTCTCCTATGAATTACCTGCCATTCCATTAAGCCTACTTGGGTGAACTTCATTTCCGTATCCTGAGCGAAGAAATACATTTGCTAGGTAACCAAAGTGCTCCCCTCCATTTCTGTATCCAGGTTCTTTTCTTATCCAGTTAAAACTTGTAAAACTCATCACTCCTTTTCATTTCAATCCTAACATTATTCTACCACAACAGAAAGATGCATCTATTATTTGTTACGTGTTTGTGAAAAGGAAGCAAACTTATTTTTCATTCACTGTTTATTCAGGAGAAGGGAAGATAAGTAGGGACAAGTAAGGAGGATGTAGGGAGGAATATTTTTCTCCCGCATTGAGGAGCAGGAAATGATAGAATAGATCATCTTACATAATTTCTGTAAGTAATAGATGAAACCACTCAATCTTGTAACTTCCAAGTAGCATTCCCCAAGTAGAATCACAGGGTATCGTTTCTAAGGTAACCAAAGAAATGGTAAGTCTTTGTATAAAGATAGTTTTGACTGGCTTAGTCATTGATCAAAGACATCTTATGGATTATCAGCCTAAGAAGCAAAATACTGATTATATTCTTCAAACACTTACCATCCCAAAATGGCCCCAAAGCCCCCTCCTTCCAGGGCTCACCCATGGACTTCCAGTGCCCATCCCCCCAGCCAATCCTATCTTGCCCCTAGGCATCTAAGTCCTTTCTTCATCCTTTCTTCATTACCTCCGCAGTTAAGCAATTTTAAATTTTGCTCAGGAGGGCAAAGATATGCTCCTTCATCTTGTGTATTTAGAAAGGACAATCATGCAACTGCAGCTATCCATGGCCATGTGTTAGCACAGCTACTCTGAAACAGCCACAACTTTGCCAAATTCAGTTTCATGGGAGTAATGGGTCCTGGATTTTGGACCCATTCTTTAAGTCAGTTAAGTCAGTATGATGACTTGGATCTGTATGATTTTCACAAATACTGTGAATTTTAAAAGGTTTATAGAAGTCTAACCTCTGTCACATAATGATCAGATGGTTGACATAATAAGAGCCTCCCCAGGTGGATCCATTGTAAGACAAATAGCCTAATATTCAAAATGCAGCCCATTTTTTAAATTCCAAATACAATACTTACAATACTTTCTGCAGGAGATGCTACTTTGGCTGGCCAAACCAGTTCACAAATAATTCCTGTTGTCTGGAGCTTGCTTTCTGTTCCTGTCACCTTGCACATTTCCACATTTAGGGTGCTCTAATTTTTTTTTTTAAGGAAAGGCACATCCTTCTTATTTATAGCTATCATTTTTTATGGGATTAGGCATTCCATTTTTTTAATTTAAAACTCAGAGGTGTTACTGATGATCACATGCTTGCTGCATTACACAAGCAACAACTTGCAATTTATTGTAATCAAGAGTCATTTGCTTCAACAGATTCTATTGAAATCTGCATATTTTTAAAAAGTTACTTCTTTGCAAAGAATAGAAGTGTCATGAAGCCAGAGGATGACTGTGCGCTATTATAAATTGTTGAATAAAATACATCATTTCAATCTCATTGGAAAGACTGGCTGAAAAGGATCCAAGTAGGACTGGGGTAAATAGTTCCAGAGTATAATTTCCCAAGACATCCAAAAGAGTGGCTTGGAGATCCATGGCTGTGGAAAGGATTTCAAGGAGAAGGAATTAGCAAAATGTGTCTTTTTAAAGCAACTGAGGCAGCTGTGACCTTAAAAGTCTTGAGAGTGCCTGATTAAATAATGAGATTTCCGTCTATGGAAGTGTGTACATACTCATGCAGACAAGCCACAGGAAACCAACAACAACAGCAACAAAAAAAATCCAGGAAGCCTTCCAAACATCTAACTTTCTCAAAACTTTAAAGAGGAATGCTTTGCAAAATGAGTTTTGGAATGATTTGGGTAGCCCCAGCAAGTCCTGGTTAATATAGAACAGGTATTTTTTGAAGCAGCTATCAAAGGTCAGATAGCTCTTTGAAGATGTCCTCTATTTATCCAAGAACACAAGTAGTGTTCCCATGACACTATTAACTATGTTTTCATTTTGTTTTTAATTTAAACAGTCAAGGAGACAAACAAGCTAACAGTAAACAACAGCCTAATCAAGGAACCACTAAGAACACTCCCACCAATGCTGACAGGGCAAGGCACTAGTATATAAAAATAAGAGCAAACCCCAATCCCTTCTAGTATTGATGATGTTACACTTTCAAGAAAACCACCAAGCTCAGAGAGCACCAAGGACCCAACATTCTTTTTAATTTGCATATGGTCTTATGAATTGCACGTGCATCATCACAAGGCTTGTTCCTTAACTAAGAAGTCTTGTTCCTTACCTAAGATTAATTGAACCAATTAGTCAATCCAGTTTTTTAGATTCACATGACACACCGAACCACAGCTAAATCATACAATCTCGATTAACACAAGGCTCTAGATAAAATATGGAGAGCAGTTTAGCATTTAGTAAGTCAAGCAAAGCCCTCTAAGAAAAGAAAGCAGGGGGCTCCAAGCTGCTCATCCACACTTTCACATTTTCATGGGTTACCCTGTTAACCTGCCTCCCAATTAATATTAATATTTAAATTATAATTATGGGAGTTTGCCTCTATATAAATTAGCCTAAATATTATTTACAGATGAGTTTATGAATTTGCATCTGTATAAATCAGCAAGTATAAATGTTAAGGACCACCCATGACCTCCTTTTGGCAAACCTGGCATTTTGGCCCAGCCCTCTCTTTTTTCTCACACAAGTTAGACAGCATTTTGTGTTACTGAACAGGCAAATCTTCTAGGAAGTGGTAGTGAAGGTCATTGTACATATAAAAAAAGAAGCAAGGCTTTGAGCATATGGTCATAGCTGTCATTGTGATTTTGATTTTTGATTTTTTGACACACAGGTACCTTGTGGCTATCCCTTTATTAAATGTTGATATCAGGATGGGAGGCAATTTGTTATTTCCTCTTCTACAAAACTAATGGTATAAAAAATATCTCTAGATTCTGTGATACTCCATCTGTGTTGACAGCTCCCCTTTATGCTAGTTTAGCCACATGAAAGATCAACATTTAAAGAATTGTTGTTATTCATCTAAGATAAGATTGAAGGAAAACTTGTTCTACCAAAATGTGCATGTGTGTGTGTGTCAGTTTGGCTGTCTTAAACAGGAAAGCCACAAATATATGCATTTGCCAAAATGCTATCAAATAATAGCACCAAGCTGAAATATGTATACAAAGATTAGTTAATCCTGAGATTAATACTGATTCAAATACTCAGGTGACCATGATGTTTCTTCAGGTGCCAATAACACCTCAAACATATTTGGGTGGAACCAGCACTTCTTTTAATGCAAGCCACATCAAAATCTGTTTCCACATGGAATGATTACCTGCAGGAAGAAAATTATGCTTAGTCATGGAAGCTTAGACTTCCATATGGATGGGTGGATCTGTTAATGTGATTTTCACTGAATGTCCTATCTGACTGATCATTTGTTCTCATTCGTGCCTGTTTACAAACTTAGCAGAACAGATTTGCATAAAAATGACTTTTCTTAGTGCTCCAAAAGTATGCATTGTTTTAGGGATTTTTCTAAATAACAAGTTCATGCTTGTAAGCAACTTTCCCACAGGAAAATGTACTTCAGTAAATCCTTAAAAATGCACCCCAGGGCAGAATATTGCCTGCCTTCTTGTTGCAATTTTTCAAGCTTTTCGAGACCAGATATCCCTGACATTTTTGTTGGCTTTAGTTGTTCATTTAATGGAAATCTTGATGTATTGGTATTTTCAGTAGCAGACTCACAATTATGCTCCAAACATATACTGTAAGTATACTCTATCCATACTTGTCTATTTAACAGTTAGTTAGTTAGTTAGTTAGTTAGTTAGTTAGTTAGTTAGTTAGTTAGTTAGTTAGTTAGTTAGTTAGTTTGTTTGTTTGTTTGTTTAATTAAGGACAAGTTAGCTTGCATGCAGAAATACCATTATTCCATCATCTATACTTGTCTATTCAACAGTTTGTTTGTTTGTTTGTTTGTTTGTTTGTTTGTTTGTTTGATTGTTTGTTTGTTTGATTGATTGATTGATTAAGGACAAGTTAGCTTGCATGCAGAAATACCATTATTCCATCACTAGGAGATAATAGCTTTATGCATATGACATGACTGATCCAGTGAGCCTCTCGCTTGCTCATAATCACATGTGCCTCAGTCAAACATTTCAGAGAGCTTCCCAGATACCGCAAGGTTGGCTGTGAGATCGTCACTTCCTGGATTAGTGCATTTTCTTTCTTGGGAGGATGGAGGAATTTTGAAGAAAATAATGTTTGCACAGTTCTGATTGGAATAGATGTTACCAAGACAGATTTGGGAGAATTACCCATCTCTGTCTTTTTCTGCCTCTGCCCCATGCTCTCCAAGGGACTGAAAAGTAAAGTAGAAGACCCAGAACATTTAGGCAATCACTGTTTATGGAATAGCTTTAGCAATTCATTTCTGTCCTAGCAGCCACCTATTGATGTTTTTTAATCCCTCTCCATGGTCAGCTGGAGGAATTTCATTTAGTCATGGTTTTGAGGTTCTGAGTAGCCCACAATTTTTGGTGTTCATAAAACACATTAATCATTCTTTAATCAACTTAAGTGTGATCAGCCATAACAATTCAATTTTAGGAGTTAATAGCTACTAGATTCTGTCAGTATGACAGCGTGACTTATCCTCAGATTAAGCTAAGAATGAATGGGGAAAAAAGCTACTAAGCGCTATTTGCTTAAGGCATTTATGGCTTTAGCATTTGTTATAGTAGTAATTGTGCTGAATTGGTTCTGCTTATCTCATGAAAAATTGGTAGTATGGCATCCAGAGATACTTGCTGTATTTGTACATGGCACCTGTACCTCCCTACAATATATTTAAAACAAAATTTAAAATATCGTTCATCATTTACTACATGTTTTAATAAAATAAACAGTGCATTTATTACTTAACATTTTCTTCTAATCCACTCTGTGTACATATTAGTGCTTTAGTTGACAGCATGGTTTAATGATGACTTTTGGTTAAACGTTTTGGAGAAAATTGGAAACACTTACCAACACCTCTCATTATGAATCTTAAAGTGGATGTATTGTCCATTTCCCCCAAATTTTAT